CCCACCCCCTATCAGGCTGGTTGGCCGGCTGTAGTGCGCGTCATTAGCTACCGGTTTTTCCAGTTGTTCAGTCGCTTGGCTTTTATATATATAGATGAAGGTAGCAATGGCTAAAGATTGATCAAGGGAAGGAGGTTGTTAGCTTCTGCTGATTTCTTGGCATTTTGACTAAGACCATCAATTGTGGTCTTAGAATAATAGGGTAGAATTACTATGTGAATAAAATAATAATAGCTAACTAATGAATACATACTATGTCCCCAGCACTGTGCTCAAGATTTATATACATTAATTCTTGCAACAAACCTATGATGTCAGTGTCATTATCATCATCATCATCATCATCATCATCATCATCATCATCCCTCCTTGCAGATTAGGATATCCATGGACATATTTGCAGTGGATTCTGAGATGCCAGCTCATAGAGTTGCCCAAAGCCTTACTTTGATAAGTGGCAGGGCCAGGATTTGAACCATGATGTGTTTGCCTTTAGAGCTGGAGATTGATTTTATGCCTAACACTATCATTCCACCCCCGCATTTACAGGAAACAGTGCTGCCTCAGGCGTACTGTCTCTGGAGCTTTGGGAGGCTCTGTGCTGCTTTGCCTTTCTTGCTCAGGTGACATTTATGGGGGAGCTTCTCTATCTTGCATTTTGCTCCCCAGATATTTACTGAGGAGTCTCACCCAGGCTTGTCTTCCTCAGTTCAAATTACTTGTGCTCTGGCCTCTGCTGACAATAGGATTATGTCCATCGATCATTGGAAAAAACGGTTTCAGTGGTGACATTTCTCCTCTGCTGGAAGAGCTGTTTAATTTTCATGCTGCTGTGGATGGGCCACAGCTAGGCTTGGTAAAAATCAAAACTTAAAGTTAGCCAAACCCTAAAAATGCTAATAGTATTTGGTCAATTGAATTTCTATATAAGTTCTGAGAGGTGCTAGGCAGGATCAGATTGATAACAATGCTCGATGTAGGGCCTGGTGCCCACGGGAGGGGTGTGAACAGGTTCCTTCCGGCCACCTTTCCTCTCCCTTGAACTTTACCCAGCAAATCTCCTTCTTTCCCAGGTCTGAGGTCAGGCTCCTCATCTTCGTGTTCTGAGACTGTGATTCCTAGGGAACTTTTCAAAGTGCTGTAGAATTAGAAACAAGAGTGAAAAGATAGTATTAACTATTCCTAACATGCATGGTGCACTTAGTCTCCTGGGCCAACCATATTATCATTGCCCGTTCAAGGAAGCTCTATGATCCTGACAAGTTGCCTATCTCCCTTGAATCACAGACAGCAAATAGCAGCAGAGTTGGGATTTGAACTTTGAACTTTGAGCCTTGAGCATGAGCTTTTTGCCAAAATCCATGTTTCTATATTACCAAACACTCCCTTCCCTGGCGAGGCCCTGTGCAACACCTTGCAGAAAAAATAGAGCATAGATCAATCAGTTATGACCACTCTTCAAAGAGTCTACAATCTGATTAGTAAAATGAAATATTAAAAACACAAAAGTTACTGACACAAAAAAAGTTAAGTTGTACTTCAAAAACGGTTGCTTGGAATACAAAATTGGTTGGCGATTTTACTAACCCTAATTGTAGTAGAATTCAGAGGGGGCCTCTGGTTCAAGGTAGAAGGCCTCAGGGTGGAGGTAGGGCTTAGTGGGCCATGCAGAAAGACTGGGTTTTCCACAGTTCCCGGGAGGAACCCTCCCAGGGAAAGCAGGGCCAACTCCAGGGTAAGGAGAGGCAAGTACAGGCCAGGACATAGGGGTGAGGCTGGGCTGGAATGACTCCTGCAGGACAGATTCAGGGGCTGGACGTTATGCCTAACAGCATCACGCCACCCCCAGCGTTCCTATAAAATAGTGCTGCCTCCTCAGGTGTGCTAGCTCTGAGTGTCAGGAGGATCCGAAGGTTCTGAGCATGAGATGGATGCATGCAAAATGATCCTCTTGCTTAATCACTTAGGACGGCAACAGGACAGTTGGTGATATTTGTCATTATGTAGATGCCCAGCATCTATTTATAAGAAAAAAAATTTGTCATTATGTAGATGCCCAGCATCTATTTATAAGTAAAATTTTAAATTGAAATATAACACACATATGAGAAAAGTGTGCACTTCATAAGCAGATAGCACTTTAAATTTTTATAAAGGAAAACAACTACGTAACCAACAAATACATCATGATTTAGAAAATGTCACCACCCTAGAAGGCTCTCTCCTACTCCCTCCCCGTGAGTCATCTCCAGAGGTTACCCCTGTTCTGATTTCCATCACCATACATTAATTTAGCCTGCACTTTCATTTTGTATAAATGGAACCATATACCACACACTCTTTAGTGTTGGGCTATTTTTCTCAACATAATGTTTGGGAGATTTATCTAGACTCTTTCCTGCAGTGTATCTCATTCATTTCATTGCTGTGTGTTATCCCACTGCATCACTATATCTCAGTGGATGTAGCTGTTCTGATGTGGATGGGCACCTGGGTTGGGCCAGCGTGGGGCGATCGTGAAGACTGGTGATACGAACATTCTGTGTGCAGCACATTTTGCAGAGCCTTCCCCATGCAGGAGAGCCCAGGTTACGAGTTCCGCCTTCCCCAAGTGGAAATTAGACCTCAGCTGCCCACTTCCCCGGCTGCATTGGCTTGTGACCTAGGCTTTGCCAATTAGATGGACCAGCCTATGACTTCAGTTTGAGGGGAAATCATGAGGAAGCAGCTGGTGAGAGTGATGAGTGAAGAGACTCTGAGCTTCATGGGCAGAGTGGCGCTGTAGATGATGCTTGTGATGCCAGCGCCAGACATGGCACTCCGCCTCCAAGCAGTCCCGGGAGGTCCCCTGCTATTGTCCCCATGTCCCAAATTTCAAAGCCTGATTCTCTCACCAAACTTCTTTGAGCCACTTTAATAAATTCTTATTCTGCTTAAAGAACCTAGGATGGGTTTGTTTATTCCTGAAGAGAAGGAAGTATTACAACAAGTCTAGATAAGCCTTATTTGACCACCATGGGAACAGGAGATATAATGACTCTTTTAGAAATGTGGACAAGCTGTAACCGGTTTGGCTCAGTGGATAGAGCGTCGGCCTGAGGACTCAGGGGTCCCAGGTTTGATTCCGGTCAGGGGCATGTACCTTGGTTGCGGGCACATCCCCAGAGGGGGGTGTGCAGGAGGTAACTGATCAGTTACTCTCTCATTGATGTTTCTAGCTCTCTATCCCTCTTCCTTCCTCTCTGTGAAAAATCAATAACATATATATATATATATATATATGAAATGTGGACAAGTCCCATTTAATGCTTAAAAGCATGGACTCTAGAACCAGTCTTTCTGGGTTCAAATTCTTTATGACTTGCAAGCTGTGTGACCTTGGGCAAGTTACTCAACCTCTCTGTGCCTTAGTTTCTTCATTGTAAGATAGTGAGAAAGCACAGGTTGTTGTAAGGATGAAATGGGTTAATTTATGGCACAGCATGGTCCAACACCTGGCACAGTAAGTGCTGTGTGTTTGCTGTTTTCACTATAATTACTTATGACAGGCTCCTGGGCTCTTTCAGATAAAAACTGAGTCAGCAGGAGAGTGCCAGCAGGAGTAAGTGACTCATTGGAGCAGTATTATTTGCACAGTGGGAACCTCCAGTGTGTTTGGTTCAAAAGAATGGAGGAAGGGAACTGTAGTGGTCAAAGAGGGTGGGCAGAGATGGCCTTGACCGACTTGGGAGCTCCACTTCCAGGGTGCTGAGGGCTCCCTCTGCTCCTCACCATTCCCTTCTCTTTATTTCTATTCCCTCCTCAAACACCAGAATCGGTTTTCTCTATGTGAAATCAAGTGTGTGTGTCCCTCCAGTCCCAGGGCCTTACATTACAATCTGGGGTCCCTACTTTTCCACTGAAGCCTGATTCTTTTCTGGTAATTTCTCAGCCCACAGAGAGGAGACCTCCTTTGTGGGATGCAGAGGTTTGCACAGTAGATGTTCGCCTCTGAGGCAGGAGGCCTCATGTTGTAGGCTAGGCGGGGCTTGCAGTATGAAAAGCCCGAACATCAGAGATGCCTTCCTGAGAGCCAGGGTGCTGCACCGCAGGGATGGGCACTGTCAGGGCAAGTCCTACCACGTGGCAAATCTGAGCCGGAGTCCAGGCCTGGGATTTGGGGCAGGAGTGCGTGCTTCCTTCTCGGAGTTCCTCCCTCAGAAGGCGTCCAACTACGTTTAGAGTAGCGATTGAACGGTGAGTATAACCCTCTATGTGACCAGGACTGTCCCTATTCAAGCATTCTGCCCTGTTTTTCCTACTAGGAAACTTCAATTTCTTAGCCCAAATGCCCTGATTTCTATTTCTGTAAATGTGGTCCTCACAGGTGTGTTACTAGTCCGAGAGAGCAGAAAAGAGGGAAGGTGGTCTCCCCTTAGCCTAATCTGGGATGTGAGCTGCTCCGAATTCCATGGAATAGAAAGGGTAGGACACATGCTTGGAGAAGCCCAGGGCTGGTCCCCACGGCCATCCACACCAGCAGGTCAGAGCTCCCTATGCCCAGATGCCCCTTCCACTACTGAGCCAAACACCCCTGAGGCCCTGAGAACAGTTGTGCTGAGTCTGGGGTGTCAAGGATGATGCAGCTGAGGTCTTGTCCTGGGGTTTTTTACACTAAGGAATGGATTGGACAAGCACACAAAAAAACGGCAACATGAAGTAGAAAACAGAGAAGCACCATAAAGGCTGGGTTACATATGGTGCATCTTTTTCTCATGCACAAGAATCATGCCGTTTTCTCTGAGGCTGCCCTACACTGTAACTTGATTTTTGCTTAGCTCTCGCTGTACTAATATTTTTCCTCAGGTGTCACTCCAACCTCATTACACTGCACATGACAGAAACTGCAACTGAGAATGCAGACTTCAGTGCTGGCTTCACCAAAAGGTGCAGTATATCATCGCCCCCTCCCCACTCATCCACCCTTTTTGAAACATGTCTTTCCGTTCTGTTTTCTGCAGCATCAACTTCACCCGACGGCTGGTTCTCCTCCGGTGACAGGATGATTGCTGATTGTCCAGAGGCCGTTTGGTTCTCATCCACATCCAAGTAAAGAGACAGCTCTTCCCAGAGTAGCCACGCACACAGTACCATGCATGACAAAAGAATATTGAGCTCCTGACGCCAAACGCCTGCATTCAGGTCCCTTCCCGGTTTTCTCCCAGGCTGATGAGAGGGCATTTGCTTGACGTGTCTGCACTGAAGAGCTTGCTCCAGGAGTTCTCAAGAAGGCCCAGTTTCGGTCCCAAAGGGGAATCCACGTCTCCCAACTTCTGGGAGAAATAAAATTGGTATAGTTTTCAAATCACTCCCAAAGTCTCCCTGACTCCTTTTCCACTTTTACTCCTAAGGTTCCGTAACTTTTAGAGCTCAGTCTACGCAAGAGCATGCAGCTTGTCCCCCCACCATCTGCATCTGTACCCAGGGCACCTGGAGAAGCTGAATCCAGCATGAAGACACGGAGCCCCAGGGAAATCTGCTCGGGGTCTTTGGTGCTCTACAGCAGGATAAAAGGATGCCTTGCCTGGGCAGCCAGATAGCCTCAGTGTATGACAATTTGGGTAGGCCATGACAGTGACAAGATACGGATTCAAGAGCATATATTCTGTTGTGTGACCCTCACAAAGTCACGCCCTCTTTCTTGGAACACTTTCTTCACTAAGCTTCTGGGACACCACACTCTCCAAACTCTCCCCTGTCTCCCTGCTGCTGCTTCACTTTCTCCTGCCAACCTCCTTTTCCTCCTAACCTCTGAATAGTATTTTGCCTCAGGGCCCTCTCTGGGACCAGTTTCTCAGGTATGGTTTGAAGAACTCTGGATTAGGCTCTACACTTGTGGAATCAGCTCCTCCCACCCCTAATAGCTTTGGACAATTCAGATAAAATTTCCTCTCTCTCTCTCTCTCTCTCTCTCTCTCTCTCTCTCTCTCTCTCTCTCTCTCAATCTCCTAAACCCTCCAGCACCTCCTTCCTTCCTTTCCTCTCCTCCTCCCTTCCTCCCTTCTTTTTTTTGTTAAATTATCTGGATACTGTCTCCCTCTACAAGTAGTAATTAGGGTTTCCAGATATGGCAGTTAATTGCTAACATTTTTTCTCTTAACTTGCCTAGAATAAGACAAAGAGGATTTTCGCTGTTATCAGTGAGAAATGCTTTGTTGCCCTAAAAAATCAACTTCAACTGACCCTCTTGGG